CGCACTCTTAGAGCCTGAAAAAGGGAAAAAGTGCGCCACAAACCCTCACCTTGGATTAACCCTGTAATAAGAAAATGATGTATTCCTGTGATGGATTTGGTTGTATTCCTTTTAGCCAATACAAATCCGGATTTTTCGATCGAAACTTCGATTTTTTGTTCCATTAAGGACTAAACCAACCTAAGATTCAGTGATTGCAATCCGAACGATCTACCTCTGAACGTGGATCGTTCAGATTGGTATCTCAATCTGGTTTCAGATCTTTGTTCCATTTATTGAAACTGCTTTTCGATGCAAGAAGGTGCTCGTTCATCAGTAAAAACGGCGGGTCAAGGTTAGTTCAGGCAAAAGTTATTTATATTCCCCCGTTGTTCTATGCCGCTAAAGCGGTGATTTGATAAATGCAAATTTTGCATTTAAGTATCTCTACAGACACAAACAAAAATTCGCAAATAAACGACTCTGTAGGATTGTAGTATATTTAACTCAAGTTCCACTGTCACTCTAAATCCGTTAGGAAGTGAAAATGCTTAGATTTTCTCACTGTAAAACTATACTGTCCAATGTCTGTTTGTGTTTCGAACGCGCTTCTCAGCCCTTGAGAATTCCTAATTGTCTTCTGAATTTTCTTGAATCAAATTCCAGATAATTTTAAGTTGATGAGTTCCAGTATATGAACCAACACTAGTTAAAGAGCTAGTTTTCTTTCCGTTTCTCCACGAGAAGATGCTTTTAGCAGAAAGAAGTAAAAAACGATGCGTTGAAATTGAGAAGAAGATCGGAGCGGCAAGCTGCTGCTGTATGGATCAATCTTATTTCAGATTTTTGTTCCGGCTAGCATAGCATGAAAATCCAAACAATCTGGATTGCCCAAATCCGAAAAAAGTTTGTCTAAAAGGAATGTAACCTTTTAATATACCGCTGTGGATTGAGAGAATTACAATCAAACCCCGCTTTGCGGACACCTGCTTATTTATACGGACACCTCATTATTATGGACAGTTTGCTTTGTCCCTTGTGAAAGAAAGCCCTGTCATTTTCTCTAAATTCAACCCGTTGATATGGACACTTTCTATGGCCCCCTCAGTGTCCGTATTGATGGGGTTTGATTGTAGGGAAGATTAAAGAACAAGGTCAAAACTAAAGCCAACAAAAACAGGAAATAATAATAATCATAATCATAATCATAACATTAATAATAATTATCGTATTTTTTTAAATTGCATCATTTCCAGTGATGTCCAATAGGGCTTCACAATAACTACTTAAAAAAATATTACAATTATTGTTCATAAGAGTATTACATTGTGAAACAAATCAAAACGAATTTCAGACAGCATTTCACTTAAGTGAAGCATTGAGAAATGCTGACATGAAACATTTTGAAATTCAGATGAGTGACAATGGGACCCCCCTTGGCAGGGCCTCATAATTTGCCCAAGATGACAAACTGAATTACGATTTCGGTAGTTACAGTAAAATAATATCGTGGTACAAATATCAGTAGATTGTGGGCGGTCATCCTTCTTTCTGCAGAGCCCGTGAGAAGTATTTTCCATCTACTGTGACTCAAAGAAAAATATAAGAGACTGCTCGCAATCTAAAATGGCAGCTTTGAATCACCCTGCAATATATTGAAGACAAAACATGTCACTTACCGATGACAATACATCTTCAATAATTGTCACACGGTTCTCCACTGATACATTACAGCAAAATGGTGCTATTGTGATGTCTAATTTTTGTGTCCTAGACCTCACAAGAATTGAACCGAGAGATAAAACTTCTAGGACATATTCAGGGAAGGCAGCAAACAAGCATGACATACTCCACGTGTAATGGGCTGGTCTGCATTTCTCTGTTCCATTGGCTCCATTCAATGTCACATGTATAAGAAGAGATGACATTTTCTTTGCAGGATATAAAGCTTTGGCAATTTTAAAGTAATTCATATTAGATCCCAACAACTTGTAGACTTCCTCATGTGTCTGAATGCAGGAAGTGGTGTCATTACAAAATGTGATTACAGAGCCAGTACATGCCTCAGCCGTGTTTTGTTGAAAGCTGAACATCACTGCATTGAGAACAACCAGCATACGATATTTCTGAGGACCAACTGAGAACATCCTTGCTTTCATCTGATTCTGTGGATGACACACTTTACTGCAAATCAAAATGGAAACTTTGTTTTGGTGACTATAAAAGTTTTAATATAGTTCCAATTTCATGGACTTCTCAGTTGTACAGAGTCACCTTGTCATAATCTTTCAAAATCTCTGAGCTGATCTGATTGCACATATATAATTTATCTCCTTATAATAAATTGGTCTGTTTATAAAAAACCGCACGTGGGGCACTCCATTATTATAATAAGCTCACTGTAAGGTACTTTTTATCAACAACAGTGTTAATATTATGGAATGAGGTTCAGTAGGAAATGAAGAATTACACAGATTGAGGAGGGTGATAATTACCATGACCACACTGGCAAATATGGATAAAACCCTCCAACACCTGTGTAATTCTTTTTATTATATAGACAAGAGCATTTTACTGGAAAATATACCACTCGTAAAATTCATAAAAACTACATCCGGGACCCGACTGGTTTATTTTCCATAATCTCACACGTGAGTTTATCAATGACATAATTTTGGTAATTTCGCTCTATTATTTTATTGATGTCATTTTGTCTAAATAATAAAAAGAACATTACATGGCGGCTTGAAGATATGAATTTTAATTTCTCGTGGCAAAAACATTACATTTTACTCACTCGCTGCGCTCGTTCGTAAAATATTGTTTTGCCACTCGAAAATAAAAGTCATATCTTTGCGCCACCGTTGAATATCCTTGATATATTATATGATAGCCCAATAACTGTTTTATTATTCATTTAGAATACTTCCAAGTTATTTTAAAAAAGACACGACAACAAAGACTTTCTTCAAAACATTTCCCTTCTTTGGTATTTTCTTAACTATTATGAATGGGTGTTATCTTATTCCAGATATTCCTCAAAAAGATGAGTTGACATAACATTCATTGAGTAATATTTTTGCTGTTCTTGATAACGCCTTTAGTCAGATTTTACTATTTTGCCTCCTCATAGTCGTTTACCTTTTTTGCCATTTTCTTGACTTCTAAATTCATGCCAAAACAGCCAACCTGCTGCTTCTTTCTCTTGCATTTAGTCATTGGTGTCAATAATTTTGCCTGGGGGGGGGGGGGGGGGGGGGGGGGTTCTTGCTCTGTTTTTTTTTCTTTTTTTTACCCTCGGCGTTCGCCACGAAACACCACGTTGTTGTTCTCTTTGCTTGTGTTGTCTTTGTGGGTGTTGTATGGTGGGGGGGGGGGGGGGGGGGGGACGGGGGTGGTACTCAAGTTAATTGTTGCTGGGTATGTGCCGCTGGCCTCTTAGAGCCCTTCCTGTCATAGTTTATGCTGTGGCCAATATAGACCCCATCTTAGTCACTTTTGGGAAAATATGTTATTTTCGCGATCCCAACTTAGGCACTTTCAAATTTTACAAATTTGTTAGATTGAATGAAGAACACTTTACTTTTCATCTACAGTACAGACGTTCTGGTACGTTTGCTAACCATAAATATGAAGAACTTTTCTATCCCCCAAAATCCAAAAATATGCAACCCCATTATAGTCAATCCAGTTGTGAAAATGCAGCTCCATCCAGCGGCACATCCCCATTAGCCTCTTATAAGGAAGACCCGGAGTGATGGATGTAGAGATGGGAACTTTTACACTACTGGTGTACGGGGGCATGGGATTCGAGTGTCAGAACTTTTTAAGAACTGTTGCAAATAAGCTTTCGACTAAGAACAATGAACTCTACGCCAGCGTTACTTCCTGGCTTTGAATACAGCTCTCATTTGCTGTATTAAGAACTGTACACAGATACATCAGAGGTTCTAGATATCCATTCAAAGCACGTGAGGTCTCAGAAGACTTCACTTTTGCTGTAGCTGGTCTACATCTGCACTCATAATTTTAGGCCTAGATTTTTGATAGTTTTTTTTTCTTACTAAATGCTTAATTTTCCTTTTCCCACTTTTAAATTATTCACAATGGTAAATAGTTTTCTATAGTGGACATATATGTTTTTAATTTGTTAACAATAGAATATAGTTTAAAATTGTAAATATTACTTATTTTTCTGATACTTAAATAAAGATTGGTTTAATTATTAGTACCCCCCTTCCCGGTAATTTTGTCAACCTTAATGAATCAGTCAATTCCACCTGCACCCAGCCCCCCGGGCTGACCCCCAGGCATTAGCATTTTTTTGGCCTTGGATGGCAAATTCCTGGGGGTGGGACTCTTGAGCTGTCAAATCCCCTGGGGTGGGGACAAAAAAAGAGGGCAAATGCCCTTTCCTCCTTCAACACTGCAACATTTTTCATTGATTGCACAGCCAAATAGTGCCTAATTAAGACTTCACGCTGCGACGACATGCACCAATTTATGGTTTTAGTATGGATAAAAAATTATTGACATTAAAATTAACAGAGTGCTGTAAAGTTATATGTTATGAATAGTTTTAATAGTTTTGAAAGGACGTTCTTCAAATGATATGAACAAAAATTTGATAATTTTCAATAACCAAAAAACATTGATTCACATCGATAGCTCCAATTTCGCTATGTAATTCTAGCTTGAAAAGCAAATGAAGAAATGCATACATACATGTAAAATCGAGAACATGTCTTTACAACCCTCTACAATTTATTCCTGTCCTTGACAGATGAGCCAATCTGCTTTTCTTCCAGTAAAACCTTCTGTGTAGTTATATTCTGATAGGAAACCGTGTGTGTGTTGAAAGCACGGGAATGGCCCAGGGGTTGGCAAATGCCCGGCCCCCGGGCAGTGCAAAATTTGCAAATGCCCCACTGCCCGGCAGTGCCAAATTTGCAAATGCCCCACCCCCGGGACTGACAAGGCGGGCAAATGCCCCGCAGTAGCCAGGGGGGGGGGGGGGGGGC